ATGCTGACATTGGATTGCTCATCGGAGCAAATGTTCCTCAAGCTATGGAACCACTTCAGGTGGTAAAAAGTGTGGCTGATGGACCATATGCTGTGAGAACATTATTAGGCTGGACAATTAATGGACCGCTCAGAGGCGGAGGAGAGGCCAAGCAAACTGATACATGGACTAAAGTGACTGTAAACAGGATTTCAGTTGCTAGATTGGAGGAGCTGTGGGAGCTTCAGTTTAAACAAGATTTTCCTGATGCTGGATTAACAGAAGAACGTGAAATGTCAAAGGATGATCATCAGTTTATTTCTATGGTGTCTCAGTCTGCACAGCTGAAAGATGGACATTACAGTATTTGTCTCCCAGTTAAGAATAAAGAGCTGCACATGCCCAACAACAGATCCATCGCAGAGCAACGTGTACTGAATTTGAAGAAAAGATTTTCTAGAGATGAGGCCTACTACAAGGAGTATGTGGCGTTTATGGACAGCATCCTAGATAAAGGCTATGCAGAGGAGATTACAAATGCTGAAAGTGAAACAAAAAGTGAACGTATTTGGTATTTACCTCATCATGGAGTCAGACATCCAGTGAAAGAAAAGCTGCGTGTTGTTTTTGATTGCGGAGCCAGCTTTGGTGGAACATCTTTGAATCAAGAACTGCTGCAAGGACCAGATTTAACAAGTTCATTAATCGGAGTACTTTTAAGATTTCGTCAAGAGACGGTTGCCATGATGGCTGATGTGGAGGCTATGTTTTATCAAGTTCGAGTGAGTGACTCTGACACAGACCTCCTCAGATTCCTCTGGTGGCCTCATGGGGACTACAGTCAGCAGCTGGTGGAACACAAGATGAAAGTACACATTTTTGGAGCTACTTCGTCACCAAGTGTAGCCACATTTGCAATGCAGAAATGTGCTTTGGATTTTGGAGAAGAGTTCGGCCAAGAAGCTGCTAAAACTATCTTTAAGAACTTTTATGTGGACGACTGCATTAAGTCAACTGCAGATGAAGATGGTGGCATTTCTCTTGCAGCTGCCCTGACCAAATTGCTGGCTAAAGGAGGCTTCAGACTAACAAAATGGTCAAGTAACAGCCGAAAACTGCTCAACACTATTCCAGCCAGTGAACGAGCTCACGGATTTCAAGATTTGGATTTGGATCAAGACTATTTACCGTTGGAGAGAGCCCTGGGAATACAGTGGTGTGCAGAAACTGACAAATTCAAGTTTAAGATCAACATCAAAGAGCGCCCGCACACCAGAAGAGGACTACTTTCCCTGGTCAGTTCCATTTTTGATCCACTAGGACTCCTCGCTCCAGTTATCTTGCCAGCCAAGAGACTTCTCCAGGAGATCTGTCGCTTGAAATACTCCTGGGACGAAGAGCTGCCAGACAGCATTATTAAGATCTGGACTAAGTGGCTTTCTGGACTCAAGCAGCTGGATGGATTTGGAGTGAATCGATGTATTAAAACCAGACTCTTTGGCTCATCAGTCTCAGCACAGCTTCACCATTTTGCTGATGCGAGTGAAGACGCTTATGGCACAGCGAGCTACCTGGTACTGCACAACTCTGAAGGTGACACACATTCCACTCTCCTGATGGCCAGAGCCAGAGTTGCACCACTGAAAACTCCTACTGTCCCACGGCTGGAGCTAACTGCAGCCACAGTTGCAGTGAAGATGGATAAGCTGCTAAGAAAGGAGCTGGAGGTGGAGCTTGTGGACTCAGTTTTTTGGACTGACAGTACTGCCGTCATTAAATATCTGAACAGTGAAACCGCAAGATTCAAGACATTTGTTGCTAATCGTGTGACCGTCATCCTGCAGCATTCACAACCATCCCAGTGGAGGTATGTAAATTCCACCTCTAACCCTGCAGATTGTGTTTCCAGGGGACTAGCAATCGATGCCTTCCTGCGGTGTGAGAGCTGGCTGTGTGGACCAGATTTCATCCTCCAGACTCCTGACCTGTGGCCCACAAATCCAGATCCCACAGTTTTGGTTTGTGAAGACTTGGAGGTAAAAAGAGTGACTCAAACACATGTTATCCAAGCACAAAGGCTAAACAACGCAACAGACAGACTGATACTTTATTTCTCCTCTTGGACCAAGCTGAAACGAGTTGTCGCCTGGTTTCTCAAGTTGAAAACGCTGTTGATTGAGCTAAGAGCAAGAAGAAAGGAACTATGGACATTAAATGATGAAAACAGGATGGAGGATTTCAAGAGAATTAAAGGAAAGGACATTACATGTGCTGATTTGGATGGAGCAGAATCAGAGATTGTGAAGTACATTCAAATGCAGTATTTCAAGGATGATATAATGATGTTGATGGAACAGCACAGAGTCAAGAGAAGCAGCCCGCTACACAAGCTCAATCCAGTGATTCAGGATGGAGTGATGCGAGTGGGTGGAAGATTGAGTCGATCAGCCATGCCAGCTGAATCCAAACAGCCAGTTATTCTGCCTAAACAGTCCCATGTTGCCACTCTGGTGTTGAGAAGTGTTCATGAAACTACAGCTCATGCGGGCAGAAATCACATGTTGGCAAAACTGAGAGAGAAGTTTTGGATTCCTGGAGCTAATGGAGCTATCCGGAAGCTGCTGTCAAAGTGTGTCACTTGCAGAAGATTACATGGCACGGCTGGAAAACAGTTAATGGCTGACTTGCCTAAATGCAGGCTGCTCCCTGATGACCCGCCCTTTACCAGAGTTGGCATGGATTACTTTGGTCCCTTCCTGGTGCGGAGAGGCAGAGCCCAAGTAAAAAGGTATGGAGTCATCTTCACATGTCTCGCTGTAAGAGCTGTCCACCTTGAGCTTGCATCTTCTTTGGACACAGACGCATGTCTTAACGCAATCAGAAGATTTGTGGCAAGACGAGGACAAGTGAAGGAGATGTACTCTGATAATGGCACCAACTTGAGAGCAGCAGACACAGAGCTGAAGCTGGCCCTGCAGCAGTGGAATAGCAGCCGGATCACAAAGAATCTCCAGCAAAAGGGGATTGCTTGGCATTTCAACCCCCCCGGCAGGTTCGCATCATGGTGGAAGCTGGGAGAGGCTGATACGCTCTGTGAGAAAAATACTGAACGTGACAATGAAGGAGCAGGTGTTGGAGGAAGAAGGCCTACAGACTCTGTTGTGTGAAGCAGAAGCGATCATCAACAGCAGACCCATTACCAGAGCTTCTTCAGATTTGAATGATTTAGAGGCCTTAACACCCAATCATCTTCTTCTGCTTAAAACTAAACCATCGTTACCCCCTGGTGTTTTCAACAAGGAAGATCAGTATGTCAGAAGAAGATGGAAACAAGTACAGTATCTGACAGATATCTTCTGGAAACGCTGGTGTAAAGAATACCTCACCCAACTTCAAGAACGCCAGAGGTGGTCCACAACTGGACGGAATCTTCATATTGGTGACGTGGTGTTGATTGTGGACGATACAGCACCCAGAAACTCATGGCCACTAGGAAAGGTGGTAGAGACTTTCCCAGACAGAAGAGGTCTTGTCCGCCAAGTTAAAGTTCGGACTAAAACCTCAGAGCTCTGTCGCCCAGTCACCAAATTGTGTCTTTTACTAGAAGCTCAAGAACCATGAGCTGTGATATGCATAGACTGTTTAGACTTGTTTTGTCTATATGATACTGTAGGCTCCCTTTAATGAATTAATCTGTTTGGTAATTGTTACAGTAAACTAGTTAACAATTAGGGGCCGGTAATGTAGGAGCCTAAACCCAGTTTGTAGTATTTTCATTATTGAGATAATTATTCTTATTTTGTTTGATTTAATGTTTACTTAAAATGCATGATTTTTGGTATTTTGGTGGTTCTTTATGGTTAACTTGATTATTTGTTGATTATTTGTTACAAAGTAATTTGATCTATTTATATTTTTTCTTTAATTAATTATTGCTAATGTTAATCATAAGTTTACTTAAGTAATGTTTAATTTTTGTATTATTTTGTGGTCTACGGCTCCCTATTTAAGATGTGGGCAGGTGCACCGGGAGAGGGTGGAGTGGAGCCAAACAGTTTTTTGACCTCCTGTCACCTACACGTTAAAGTTCCTCTTTTTTGTTTGTATCTGTATGTCCTATAATGTGAATCAGCAGTAAAGAGTTTTTAAATTGCACTTGGATCGCTGTTCGTGGATTCTTTCATTTTTGATGCATTTTAAAAAGGTGGAACAAGGTGTGCAAAGCGTCAACTATGGCTTCACAAATGTTTGGACCTTACAATGTCATTGAGAAACACAGAGCCCTTGCTGCGAGGTTGCGCGCGTAAACGCTAACGCGTGCAGTGGAGCCTAGGCTTAATGGGGAACTACGGAACTGCCTTCTTTGTGTGCGCTTTTTGTTGCACATTTAAAATCAGTAGTAGCGGAAAACTGGCATGTCGTAATATCGGGATAGGCTGCTGACCCCTTCATAAAGTTCAAGTGCAGCTGCTTTTACAGTAATGTTAATTTTGCTTGATAGCTTTAGTAGCATGACACTGGGAATAAAATAAAAAAAAAAGACCATTAACAGACCGATCAGTTAATGTGTTTGTATCTCTCTGTTCTAGTTTGAAGGAGTTCAGATGGAGTTAAAAGATTATTGGTGATAGTTACAAGGTAATCAAATGAATGTTAATTCTTCTATGAATGTTTTTCAAATTTGATATTCTGAAAGTGCTTAATTGTTCGGCTTCAGATCAGTTAATGTGTTTGCATCACTGTGTTCTAGTTTAAAGGAGTTCAGACGGAGTTAAACATTACTGGAGATAAAGTTACCAGGTAATCAAATGAATGTTACTTCTTCTGTCAACCTCCCCACCCTCTCACACCATCATTTATTCTGCTTTCCTGTTTGAACCAAATGAAATCTTTTGCCATATTAAACTTAACAATTCATAAATGTGTTCTTTTCATAAATACAATTTTCCCATTTTTTTTTGACACTGCACAGATGACTTAACTTTGGTTTTGCTTCCAAAAAAAGATGATTGGTCTGAAAATTTGTCAAAACTGAATTGGATTTGTCATAAAAACACTTCAAAAACTAGTAAGTTGTACTATTTTCTGTAGATGTTGTATACAACAAATTGTGTTGAGGACATGTTGCCAATTTAACATCTTGTGTTAAGCTAATAATAATGTTATATTAAGTATCAGCAATTCTGTTTTAAAAGTTGGTGTAAAAGTTTTCATTGTTTTTTTCCCTTTTAGGTTGCTAGTTCCAGAATGACCTGGAAATGTAAGTTGTGTCCAGCTTCTTTCAACTCCAGAATACTGTTATTTAGACACTACAGGTTGGAGCACAGCCAGTATTCTAGAACCAGCCCTCTTCCTTGCCTCTACACTGACTGCATTTGTACATTTCAGACACTTAATGCACTGAGTACTCATTTATCAAGATATCATGCAGCACAACCTATCAGTCATACACAGCAGAGTCAGGGGCCTGTGTTATTTAAATGCCCTTTATGCACATTTCAGCAACCCCTTTCTGAATCTGCTGTTTTCAGTCATCTCCGAAAGCATTTGAAAAATCATGAAACCGTGACATGCCCTTATAAGGATTGCACCTATAGCACAAATGTATACTCCTCATTCAATTCTCATAAAAGTAGAGCACACCAAGCAGATCTCGCGTCAGACTTTAAAACTGATCTTGTCAGTGAGGATCCAGACAATCTTCTAGCCAGTATTTCAGAAACTGAAACTATTGGTTTACATGAAGAATGCCCTAGTCAGAGCAGAGAAGTGGTGAATGGGAATCAGAGTGGCACAGTCAGTTTAAGAAATCAACTTAAAATTAACATGTCTTCCTTATTCTTAAAGATGCAGGCTCTCCTCCATGTCTCAAACATTGCTACTCAGGAAATAGTAGATCACTTGAATCAGATCTTCTCCTTATCTGAGCCGCTGATCAAAGAGGCAGTTCATGACATACTTCAGCAAAATGGTCATAGCATTTCTGAACCTACACTGAGTGAAGTTGTTGCTGCTGTCATGGACTGCAATGTTCTGTCTACAACAACCTGTAAAGGTGCTGAGTTGTGTTCAGCAAAGCGCAGAAAAACCTTTATTGAGCACAACTATCCTTGTGTAATGCCAGTGGAGTATCAGCTAGAGCCTGGACATACCAGCATGTATGTTCCTGTCCTTTCAATGATTCAAGAGTTGTTTAGAAACACAGACATGCTTAACAAGATTACAGAAACAAATACTACATTTGGTCAATATGTATCATGCTCCAGTGGCTCTCATTTCCTTGAAAATGAATTGCTGTCAACTGGGGATCTCATCTTACCGCTCCAGATATATATTGATGAACTAGAAATTTGCAATCCATTAGGCACATCACGCAAAATTCACAAAATGTGTGCTGTATATTGGGTCCTTGCTAATCTTCCGCCAAAATACAGATCAACATTACATGCTATACAGCTAGCAATATTGGTAAAAGTGACAGACCTTCGTAAGTATGGATATGCAGCTGTACTTGCTCCATTGCTGCGTGACGTTCATACTCTGGAAGAAGATGGAGTATTCATTGAAAGAGTTGGTCAGAATGTTAGAGGCACTGTCTTTTGTGTTTCTGCTGACAATTTGGCTGCTCATGGATTAGGTGGCTTTACAGAGTCCTTTAGAGCAGGCCATGTTTGCAGATTCTGTATGGCCTCAGTTGAACAGTTTCAAGTAACTGAAGTCAGAGAGAGAACATTTTCTCAGAGAACTAAAGCTAGCCATGACCTACATGTACAAACTGTTCAAGAAAGTGAAATTTCAAGCAGCCACTTTGGCGTTAAAGGTAGCTGTGTCTTGCGTGAGTCTCTGAATTACTTCCATACAATCACAGGGTTTCCTCCAGATATACTCCACGATCTTCTGGAAGGTATAGTTCCGATGGAGCTTTGTCTTTGTGTTAAAGAGATGATCCGACTGAAGTACTTCACTTTGAAGTATTTGAACAACAAGATTAGATCATTTCCATATCAACATACTGATAAAGTGGATAGACCTCAGCCACTTCACCAAATGTGTCTCTCTCGGGGAACAATTGGAGGTAATGGACATGAAAATGCCACTCTGCTCAGACTTCTTCCATTGCTTGTTGGCAGTTTAGTACCAGAGGGTGATAAGGCATGGGCAGTTTTGATGGAACTGAAAGAGGTGGTAGAATTGGCTTTGTGCCCATCATTTACTGATGAAACCTTAGACTATTTTGTTTGCAAAATCAGCGATCATAGACAGGCACTGCTAGAGGTTTTCCCAGAGGTTAGGCTCCGTCCTAAACATCATTATGTGGAGCATTATCCTGCTCTAGTTAAGTGCTTTGGCCCCCTGCTGCATTTTTGGACTATGCGGTTTGAGGCCAAGCACCGCTTTTTTAAAAGAGTGGTGCATGACTCTCAAAATTTCAAAAATATTTTGAAGACAATGGCAATCAGACATCAGCACATGATGGCATATCATCTTGCTGCACCATCATTTTTTAAGCCAAACACTCAAGCATCCAGGGTTGACTCTGTTCTGGTTTCAGCTCTACCAGAGGCTGCTCAGGTACACATTAGAGAGCAAACAACTACTGACACAATCTACAAGACATCAAAAGTAACCATTGATGGCACAGACTATGTCTGTGGAATGTTTCTGTCTGTAGGAGTCAGCGGTGGACTATCTAAATTCAGCAAAATAGAACAGATCTTCCTTGTCAATCACAATGTATCTTTTCTGTGTTGTGATTATGACTCTTGGTATGTAGAACATCTACGGTCCTACGAGCTGTCGACTGCAAATACAAGCCTGTCAATCCACCTTCAGTCTGAGTTGAATGATACAGCCCCCCTCTCAGCATACAAGGTAGACGGATCGCTGCTGCTGACCCCCAAGAGGTTCATTCAAGTGAGAGGGAACTGAGTTCAGGTAAAAGAGATTACTTTTATTTACCAGTTATAGTCTGTCTTCACTCTGTGGAATTACGCAAGTTGTACACTAGATATGATACACTTTTAACAACCTGATTTTGTCTTTTCATTTAGCACAATGGCAGCTGCATCTCCACAACCAATGATCCTTCGTGTTGTTGATCCAGACCAGGCTAGAAAACTAAAACTCAGCTCAAGACCAGCCTCTGTTGATGCACTGATCAAGATTATAAAAAGAACAATTGGAAATTGACCTCCACTTTGATTTGCTGTATGAAGATCCAGACTTTGACGGGAAGCTTACTTCCCTTACAGACATTCAGGATTTGCCACAAAAAGCTATTGTCCACATCGCAGTTTCAGAGGACTCCAGCTCTATTGCATCTACTATTCTGCTTTCAGATGTGTCATCTCCAGAGCGTCTCTGCAGATGGCCTCCTGGTCCTTTTTCCAGTTCCCACATTTGCATTTGATGTTGAGCTGAAACTTCGAGATGGAAATGCAGAATATGAGAAGAGCAACACACACCTTACCTTAAGTTGACAAGAGACCTTAAGCACGACATTTTGGAAAACCTTGCATCGACTATATATATGGTTTTAAGGCTTACCCAAGTGATAAAGAGATTGCAATGGCTGCTGAGGCTCTTGTAGCCAAACATCCCTGTTTGAAGGAAGCTGGATCTGAAACTGGCTGGAATGGGTGGAAAAATAGCATCAAGTTTAAGATGGGCAATTTCCGAAGCAAGATGAGACGGGCTGGTTGTCAGGAGGTTAGCGTTAATGCCGGAAAAAGAAGCAGAAGTAATCCTGAAAATGAACCTTCACATTCCAACATTAAAAGACCCAAGCGAGCTGAGATCAACTTCCTCATTCTCGTCATTGAAGGTGATGTTGTGGTCAGCCTCCCCAGACTTGGTGAAGCCTTCCTGGTAGTCTTTGGACTGGCCTATGCACTACACCTCAGTTATCCCAAAGCTCTGACCAGCACTTTTGAATTCACTCAGAAAATTTTACTTGGTCTAGAAGGTAGTAAACTGTCACCCAGGTTGCAAACCATTAAGAATGACTTGATGATGTAAGGAAACCATGACCATTAACTAAACCTATGCTTTTCTTTATCGTTTATGATCTTATCAAAATAAAATGTTAAATTTTGTGCCTTATTTATCAACATTATTAGTTTGTACGACCATGAACGAACACAAAAAAAATCCTCATTTTTTTCATTCTCATTGTGGTTTATTTTGTGCAATCAAACGATAAACTTTTGATGCCTTTGTTAACATTTAGTTTGTATGACCATAAGCGGGAAAAAAATCTAAATTTTTTTATTCTCAGTTTAGTTTGTACGATCAAACTAATATTGATAAAGAAGTAAGGAAGTAAAAACCAAAAAAATGATGTAGGTTAAAGGGTACAACATGTTAACGACAAGTTAAAAGTTCTTTTGTCTAGATATTGCTTTAGAGTTACTGCAGCCAATGTTCAGTCAATAAGACCAAACTTAACTGTTTTGTAAGAAAAAAATTACCCAGTAGTCACTGTGAATTTGTTGTGCATAGTCACTATGCATTTGTTCTTATACTCTTGTTTTATAGTCTATATGCCATTCCATTGTAACTTCTGCACACTGCGTGCCATTTTATTTTTTATTTAATTTCAGTGTGCAAGGGCAAAAACACAAATAAAGATTTGAGTTTGGGTAACATAAAATGATGTGGTTGTGTACTTTTTTTTTTTAAGTTCTGTGAGCGTTTTTCTGTGGTTTGAAAACTCCCTATTTTAAATCATAATAAATTAAAATAATTGAGTTGCTTAACAGAAAACTATGAGTTTATATTAACTGCAAATATTTGAGTTGAGCTAAATGAGCACTTTTAATTCAGGTCTTATCAAAAGGTACAAGTAGCAAGCAATCAAACCTTTTAAGTACTGGAAATTGTGACTTTTAAGTTTATCAACTCAAAAAAATTGAGGCAATTTATTGCCTCAATTTTTTTGAGTTCTGGTAACTTATTCGGGTTTACAGTGTACGGCCACAAAAATCATCCGTGGGCTGCAGTTGACCCCCGAAGGCCTCAAATTTGAGAACTCTGGTGTACACGGTTTTAAAAAATAATGGGGCACTTCCTGTATTACCATATGACATCACACGGTGGAGCAGAGTTTTTCCTGTTTGAGAGAAGAGCTCAACCTAAATCTTCAGGGTTTGTGTGTTTAACATGAGTGAATGAAACAAAACACAACTTCAGATCTGTTTGTGATGAGGAAACAAGATTATAACACAGATCAGAAAATAGCGTAATATGGGCCCTTTAAAAATATCTATATAGCTCTACATTCACAGGGAGTTGTCCATACTAAGATCATGCACTTTTTCTGCAGTGATGGAGCCCAATAAACCCTCAGAATCTGGTGGAGTCGTACTGCCCATGTACAACCAGCTGGTTACTATGGCAATGCCCACAACGAATAACATTACCACCCATGATTAATATGAGCAAAGAAGGTCAAAATAAATGACTTGTAAGTGTTAAAAAATTATTATTATGGTTCACAAAATTGACAAAAATCTATGATGCCATGGAAAAATAAAACCATAACTGCAGTCACATTACAGTTTTAGAGAAAAAAAGGAAAAATATATGGGCTAAATGATTCTCTTGTATGAAAATCCAATACAGTTTTCAAGTTATTTCAAGTTTTTCAGTCTTTTTTAGTTGGTTACTATACTTTGGTGTGAAAAAAGATGGTATACTTATTATTTCTGATGTTGAAAAGTATATAAGGTAAGTGTCTACAAAGCACTGTTCCCAAAACTGTTGTTAAATTAAATCAGATATCAAAATGAGACTGTGTACTGTCTGCATCTATTTCTAAAGAGCTTTTATCATCTGTGAACCAGGAAGATAAGATGATGCGCAGTTAGCATGCTAGTTGGCATTGCAAAACTCTGTTGTGGTCTCTGAAAGTTGTGAAACGTGCTTTTAAACTCACTGTGGCAATGCTCAGAATACATAAGGTAAGAGGAATAACTTTAGGCTGTTGCTGCCAACCACTGAATATGAACCAGTTCTGTTTTTCATGTTTATAAAACTATACAAATCTAGTATAGTGCCTTTAATGGATAACTGTTGGAGAACTGTTCAAATTATTCAAAAATGGGGCTCATAAAACTATAAAACTATAACACAAAGTTCCCTACATGCTCTAAAAATGCATTATAAATATAAACGACTGTATTTTAGATCTAACTTGGCTGTTAGAATTGTTCTATTATATATATAGTTATACTTGTTGCTTGGTTGCACATAGGCAGTCTCTCCGTTCATCCATGCTGAAAGATGATCGCATGCATGACGTCATAGAGAGAGGAAGAGGCGGCGCCCTCCAGGGAGCACCCAAGGGAGAAAGAACTGCGCCCATGTGGACTTACGCTTTCTGTGTCCTTCAAACATTTCATAGGCTGTGTAAAACATCTGAGTCTGTGAGGCCTCTGCAGGGGGAGGGGCAGATATAGAGGGAGGGGCACAGGTAAACTGACAGGTGAGTCAACCAATAGGAGCAGTTTACCCTCCACTGGAGTGGACCAAGTGGGATTCTCCATAGAGACCACCAAATATGAGTTCATTACTACTAGTGAATAAGTATGAACAGTTCAGCTGCAGGGGTGTCCAAACTTTTTCCACCGAAACATATTTGAAGCGGAGGGTCACAGTGGTTTATACTGTACAGTCGATCAGATGTGTGCATTTCACAGAGCTTTGACAGAGCTATTGTACATTTAATAAAGGTTCGAACCATAGACTGTATATATGAGTGGACATAACTAAAGCTCTAGCCGCTGTCAAATAGGAAGTTCGCCAGGAGGCTCTTCCGGCTCCTTCTGACAATTGACTTACATTGGGAACTTGTCGTCCCTCTCTCTTTAACTGCTGTTTTGAGCCTTGTCATTTTGGTCTTAAAATGTTCATATTAACCTGCACTACATGATCCAGATTATTATTTTTATTTTTTTCACTATTTTGTCTGTCAAAAAATCCTATTCATAACATAGAGCCTCCAGATTTGCTCCTGTAGCTGTGAGCATCACGAGCCTCATTTGAGCGGCGCTGAACGCTATGGGTTATGTCAGACTCACTTAGTCCACTTCTTTTATACAGTTTGTCATTCGAACAGTGATTTTAGGTTTTGTTAATGTGATGCTATAAACATAGTAGTGTTAAAATTACTTAAATTTGTATTAAAAAGTTCTGCCTGGCTCTGATCGGTTGGACCATTTCAGCCGGAGACCCAAGGGCCAACAAAAACTGGTGTGAGGGCCACATTTGGCCCCCGCACCATAGTTTGGACACCCCCGAGTTAAAATAAGATAGAAGCTAAAATACAATGATACTTGTATGTGTCGGTTAGTATACCTCTATATGTTTTTCATTTCATTCAGATTCCAGTGTCATGTGATGGTTTATCTTACCTGCATGTCCTGTCTGGTCCATAACATAATTAGGTTGTGTCTAGACCAACTGAGTCAACTTTGGTCCTGGTTTGATTCCAAGATAATCTTGATTTTGACATCATGTGGTACTGTTCTAGAAAATAGTTTAGTCCTGGTCTAGTCCAAGTTTAGTTCCAGCTTTGATGTGGTGTATGTGAAATGTGAAAGTCACTTTCTTCAAAACAATATACAACAATTAAATATTAGGCCAAAAATAAATAAGTTTCTAGTCTGAAAATGCCTCAACACTGAGTAGAAAAAGAAGTTGTTGGCATCTTGCGTCCTACCCACTGATGCACATAATAATGGTAATTAACAAAAACATTGCAGCTGAAGTCAAACATTCCTAAATACATTAGGACTATGAGCCAAGCACATGAAGCAGTGACACACAGGGCATGCAGGTTAGTAGCAAAAAGCTCATTTCAACATTGGGTTTGGTTAGGACAGGTCAAACAGCTGCCATACAGCTTGTGGTTACAAATATGAAAGGTCAAATATTCAAACCAGTGTCATTGTTTTAATCAATCTTTTTTTCACAAAATAGTTCACAGTTAAATACAATACAGAGAAATGTGTACAACTCATTTTTCATTTTGGTTACAAGAAATATTTTTTACAGTGGCACCATCCAATACAAACGAAATAAACGCATAGTAGTCATAGAAATGTGTGTAAAATTGAAATTTGAGGTGAAATTTTGGGTAGTATAAAAATATATACTTTCAAAAATACTTGACTATTCATTGGTATCACAACAGCCTACATGTAAACACACAATACAAAGTCATATTGCTTACAAGTTAATACAAAAATTACTAAAAATAAAAAAAGAATGATACTATTGATTGTTACATTTCGATTTTACAAACATAAAGAGAAATATATTGAACCAAAAATATATCTTTAGCTGATTGACAAACTGGATTTCAAGTCAAAAATTAAAACACATCAATGTAACTTATAATATAAACAGGAATATCGATTGCAATGTTACAAAAACTAAACTATAAGATTGAACAGGGTCAAATAGCACCATAACAGAGTAACTGAATACAACATCTGAATGAAGGTAGCGGCTGGTGGTTGTATCCTCTTGCTGTGAGTTTTAAGCACCTTTAGAAGTCCAGTCTCTCCAAAATACGTGATATATTTGTTTGGTTTTTGCTTTTGTGTCAGCTTGGGCATTGAGGAGTGAAAAAAGAACCCAAGAATCCATCACCTGCTAGTTGCACTCATAGAAAACCTGCAGCGGCGATGGAGCTCAACAGTACTTTCAAATGCATGGTTTAAGAAGTACATTCCCTATTCATTTTTCCCATTGACTTATTTATAAATCGCCAAAGAGTTCAAGCTTAATATTGTAGTTTATGGGGGAGTAAGCTATGAGATAACTTAAATTATGACCAATAAAAACCCCAAAACATATAATTTTAATTTGAACTTTTACAATTCTGATCGTAAAAAACAGACCTGATACTTGATATTAATTTCAATATCACTATGGCAATTAAAAACATTCGGAACAGCGGAATTTTCGATACAAAATGAAGGTAGTGTCTTTAATATTATCGTGTGCTCTCATAATAGTTCTGTAGTATAATAGTTTTTAGTTTCTCACAGTTTTTTCTCAGTTTTTGACATCTCTAAAGCAAAGTCAAACATGCATTTTGCTGCATTTTCCATTATAATCTATGGTATGTTTTGATTTGCAATTAACGCAATTGTTATAGTCATTAATAAAATTTATGGGAAATGTAGTTCAAAGTGAAAGGTACTGTTCAGCTCCATTTTGACCAAGAAGCACCAAACCGCCACCACGGCATCAGTCCACAGAGAGAAATGATTTTAATGGAAGACAATTACCCCCCAAATTAGACTGAAGAGCGCTCATCAACCACTAATTACACCTTTTAATTAATTTGCCCAGTATCTGTTATCAATAAGAGAGCTTTCAAAAAAACCCACAAGCTGTATTCATTTGATTAGAGACATTAGAGCCGAGCGAGCAAAGTACAAAATTAAAATAAAAAAAGGATTGGCTTAACAAATAAGTGTAGCAAGCAGCAGCCACAAGCATTAGCAGTTAGAATGCAAGCTTATTATGCTGTTAACCAAGGTCAACTTTTACAGTGCGCACAGACTCAGACTCATGCACCAAGCTGGAGAGGGCTTAGAATTGGAGTCAATGGGACTAGACCGTAAAAATGTATCTACATGAGTTACAGGGACTTGAATTCAGCATATTTATTGAGTTGAGATTATGAATAGTTTTTACAAAAAGACGATTTTTACTGCAAGTACTACTAGGGATGTAACAATAATCCAATGGGTCATCACAGTATATCGAATCGCAAGTGTCTCTGCTTAAATTCATTGTTTTGGTGCAGCAATAGCTAAAAAACTACATAGACCATGATCCTTTGCTCTGTTTAAATCCAATGAACACGCTGAATTAACTATTATGATGCACTTTTAAATCTTTTTATCACAATTATTTGGATTGTGATAAGAGAAAAGTAGCATCACTCACAATTTTTTTGTTGTTCTTCCTTTTTTTTTTTTTTTTTTTTGCCTCTAGAAAATATCGCAATAAATATCGTACCATGAGAAGATATCGTGTAGATTTGGATATCGTTACATCCCTAAGTACTACCACTATTATAATTTCCAACTACAAAAAATATATTCATTTTATTTAACCCATATTTAGGTTAGAAAACTATAGCTACACTTACTTCTACTACTGGTACTGCTACTAGTACTACTACTACTACTGCTACTACGATAACTTGAGTAGTTTGAAATTTAAAAAAAGCTAAAAGCTATACATTAAAACCACAGAGGAATACCTTAAAAAAGTCAAATATCCCCCCAGATTCTTAACTAAAGTCAACTACTCAAATAAACGCAATAAATAATTTGAATTCCAGTCATTTAAACTCATGCAGATCTCATTTTTTACAGTGCAGGAGGAGGGGGAGGAGCTGTGTGAGGCAGGGGGGAGGGGCAGAGGCGAGCGCGGTGCCAGGGATCACGAACCTGGCACGTAGAGGATGGCCCTGCCCTCGTCCATGGCAAACATGTTGGAGCCGGTGCACACGTACACCCCGGCGTCCTCCGGCTGGACGTTGTGGATGGTCAGGATGCCGTTGAAGTCCATGGCGCGGTTCGGGAGTTTGCCGTTGCCTTGGCGAGTCCAGACCAGAGTGTAGGCGGGGGACTGCGGGAGAGGACAGACGGGGTTAGAGGGTGTGAAATAAATGATTAGGGATGTGGCAATGCTGGCAAGGTTGTGTAAAGTTGTAAAAAGCAGGGAACTACATGATCCTTATTTATCAAAAGTGTCGCAACATTATCAGTTCAGCATACTCCAAAGAAAATGTAAAAAAAAAGAAAAAGAACTACATGTACTATGAGCCTTTGATTCAGACAATTATGATCACACTAAAAGTTAGTTGGGAAATTCTTTTGAGAGACAAAATTAGGGGTTGCATTACCATAAATCTTATATTGCAATTCTATATATCACGATATATCCCAATAATAAAACAAAAAGGACGATATATTATCATTTTTCAAGAAAACTGTAGAATATTATGGTTGAATACACTTTCACAAGAACAAAATTGGAAGAAATGTAATTAATTTAGTTTTTAAATCATGAGAACAGTAAACAGAACGTATAATTTTGGAGACATTTTGAACGTTTACCAGAACTGTACCAGAAGAATTGCGATATATCACTGAATCGGTTTTTTCTTACACCCCTAGATAAAATAACCTCATCTAACACATCTCATTCAATTTCAAGTGTGTTTTTGTAATAGTATCTAAAATGAGATTTGGTCTTAAACTATGGTTATTTGATTTTGCGTCTTCACTTTTTATTCTGCGTTTAGACGAGCATTTTCGGAAGGAAATCTGCATGCATACGGTGACGCAAAAGTGTGTGGAATTGGATTGGGTATGCTTGCTGTCTGGCTCGCCTGTGACGAACTGGTACATCCACAATTTGACAGAGATGATTGCAGATCCTTCTCTGTTCACTAATAATATCTCTGCAGATTCTGTACATTTGTTGGGAGCCTCCTGTAAGTTTATTAGAGCTGCCAGAGAAGACTGAACAAACGAAAATGATCCGACATGTTTGTTTCTGTGTACTGTATGTATGTGACATAAAACACGTACGCGACATGAGCAGATCTGATCAGAGTTTTGCGTCTTGGGCAGTGTAGATGGAAACACTTCACGCGGAGTGTATTCAACTTTTCCACTCTGGAGGGTGCTTTCAGATTTTTGCATTTTTAAGCCTCAAAAATGCTAAACAACCGTCTAAACAAAAGGCACTTGTGATAAAATATTTTGTTGTTTTTACCCACAAGCGTTCTCATGTAAACAGGCCCTTAGTATGAGCAGTGTTACCTCTCCACAGACCTAACTTATAACTATAAATCTGGTGGTGTCACATAATTGTCTTGCCGTGGGGATAGATAAGTTTAATGCCATACTGTAGAACATTCCAGGCAAAGCAATAACATCTCCATGGAGAAGAGCAGGATTCAGAAAATCCACCAGAAAATGTGTACTTTCAAGGCGTTTTTGGTTATAGCTCTCTCAATATAAAAAGCACAAACATTTTGCCAGTCTGGACACTTTTAATTTCTTATGACCTATGATCTTATGTCTGTATTTATTGTACGTATAACTTCAACTACATAACGTCATCTTCAACTACAACTAATTGTACCTTGAGTATAAATACAGAAGAAACCATTTGATCACGTTACCTTGCTCTTTGCGGTACATATGAAGCTGATGGTCACGCCAACCCTCACTGTCTGGGACTTGGGCTCTTCCACTGTCACTTCAATGGGCTTGGATGGAGCGCCTGGAGTCAGAAATGTTCACAAAGTTCACTTTTAGCAGAAGAGCTATCACAACTCAACCCAAGATTGAACTGTAACGTCATAAATTAAACCCCGAACTTTCACCATCTGCTGCGAGTGTGGAAACAGTGTGGAAACAGAGAGAAGAGTGATGTTGTAATGTACAGGAGGATTCGGAGATGTATTTTTCTCACTAGTGACGATGATTTCAGCGTGGCTTCGGTTGGTGCTCCTCTGGTCTCTGCAGGTACAAATGTAAACGCCTGCGTCGCTCGGGCTCACACTGGGGAAGTACAGCTCTGCTCCTGTGAATACGAGAGAATACACAAATAATTAAACCATTTT